GCAGCAACCTATCCGGGTTTATTTATGGCACCCTGGAAACAGCAGCTTCCGCTGGACCCCAGATGCATTCCTACTCTGGGGAAGAATCTCTTATAATTGAGAAATACATAGACACGGAAAATGCAGTGAGATTCAGAAGATTCCTCTCTAGGACGAGAGAAAATGGGCTCAAGTTGTGCTGGTGGAGGTTTAGATTGGATATTAAGGAAAAAGTCTTCACTGAAAGAGTGGTGAAGCATTGGAACAGGCTGTTCAGGGAAGTGATGGAGTCGCCATCCCTAGAGGTTGTTCAAAAAGCTTGTAGATGTGGCACTTCAGGACACGGTTTAGTGGTCATGGTAGTGTTGGACTTGATGACGGTTGGACTTGATGATCTTGGAGGTCTTTCCCAACGTTAGTAATTCTGTGATTCTAAGACAGTTGTACATTGCATGGATAGAGAACTGACTAGAAGAAAACCAAGTGTATTAAGCGTGACCGTAGTGGCTAAGTAGATAAGGAGGGTTGGCAAGAGATGGTATGCTTTGGCGTAAATCTGGTGCGGGGGAGGCTTGTGCATGTGTTGAGAGATTTTTGTGGTAGGCAATACTGAAATACTTCATCGTCATGGCTTTCAATGTTGCGCTCTTTTTCTGAAGTATGGCTATAGATCATGATACAGGATATAAATATAGGTTGCATAAGACAAATTTTCCTATGGCATGGATTATTCAAAGAAGACAATCCCATTCTCTTTCCTTTTAAAATTCAGCATTTTTCTGAATTCCAAATTTTGGAAATTAGCATGGTTTTTGCAGTGAAAGGCACTGTTTATTACTGATTGATCGCCTCAGTCCTGAGTAAGCCAGCAGGCTCTTGTCTCTGCATAGAGCTCCACCGTGTTGTTCAAGCTCCGTGTGTGGGTTTTAAACCTCTCAGCTGTCTTTGAAGTAGACATTCTTTTTCATCTGGTTTACATGTGGGAAACTGCTATGTAGGCTGATAATGTGTCTTTACTCTCTGAAAATTCAGTAAATAACGTCAGAGACTTGAGAAGCATTCTACATAGTAATTTTTTTGGCTTTAGAGTATGTTTCATCTAAAGTAGTCTATTAGTGTCAAATACAAATTGCATCAGAGACCAGGCTTAGAAAAAAATGTTGTTATTCCACACTGTAGCAGTGAAATCCTTATTGACATTGTCCTTATAGACCTGCTGCATCATTTCTGTTTTGTTTTTGGATCGTTACTTATTTGATAGACCAGTTATTCACATTCATCCTTCTGCTCTTGATGTGCCATACCGTTGCACTGAAAGGCGGTGCTGACTTCTCGTTCCCTGAGGAGTTAAGAAGAACATACTTTCTCCCCTTTTTCTTTCATGCTGCGTTCTTTTCTGGTTTTTTGTATTTTGCTGTATTTTGTGCCACAGAAACGTTCATGTTGCGGGCATCCCTTTGCATTGATGTTTAGCCATCCTCGAAGGCTGTTTACAGCTTTGTGTGCTCCCGCATCATGAACTCTCTTCCTTAAATAACATGGCACCATGAAAAGCTATTTAAGCCCACAAGTAGATATTATTAGCTGTTTGGTTTTTTTTAGCTTTTTGGCATACTTCTTCGATAGTAGGAAGCAAGAAGGTAAAAGTTGTATAAGATCAAAGCATCTTTTTTTTTTTTTTTTTTGAATGCAATCCCTGGATGATGCACCATGGGCTAGCTGGGAATTTGATCTTTATTGACTCTGCCATCTACGAGAAAAAAGAAAATAGGTAAAACCAAGAGGAGTAATTGGAAATAGCTCCTGTGGAGCAAAGCTGTCATGAAGCAGATTGATTCAGCAGTGGCAGAGTTGCTTTATTGATTGTGAGTCCTTCGTAAATTAAAAAGAGGACCAAATGCATTAATCTTTTGTGTGCATGCATGTGTGGCTGACAATTCAGAATGTTCTGCCAGGATAAAGGCACATATAGGAGTGTGGGAATGTTATCTACTTCAGCCAGTAATAGGCTTGTCAGAGATAAGAACAGGGTTCTTCAAAAACCCTTCTGGGTTAAATGTTATTCACTGTACTGTAAACAAAGGATAGAAGTACTCCTTGGGTTTTTTTAAACATTCAGGTGCAGTTATTCTAGATAAAGAAATGAAGCCGAGGAATCGTGCTTATTTTCTTCATATGTTCAGAGTGAGTTTCTTAAATTTGATTCTCTGTCTGAATTGCAATGTCAAATTTATCATTAATAGAAAAAGTCCAAAAACTTTAATATAGTCTGAGGATCTCTGCTTCATAAGCAGAAGTCAGTTTTGGATTTGGATTTTTGACTCTTCCAGTTACTGCTAATTACTTAATGTCATTGCTCATTTGCAAATAAATTAATCCTTTATTTTTATCTTCCTCCCCAAATCATGACAGCTTGAAATTTAGTTAGAAGGGGAGCAGCCATACAGTGTGAGGTGATAGTACAGAAACTTTTCTTCCACAGAGACACAGAAGAGTCCTTTTCCTCCACAAAAGAGTCCAAAAAGCTGGAATCTTGTGCTGGTGAGGACTAGACTTGCCAGATATTAGATAGATGATCTCCTGCTTTTCAGCCTTAAATTCTGCACCATCAGGAATTTTGTTTCGTATCGTTCTGGTTGGCTTAGTGTAGCTGAAGTTCAGCCAGGAGGACATGCTCCTCTTTCACTATTTGCTCACCACTTCTGCCTGAAAATCCAGCTACCAGGGATAGCGTTATGGACTCTCATTCCCAGTGAGCTCTCTGTTTTAGAGCCCTTTGAACCTCCTCTGGTTTGGATGCACAGTTGCTAAGAGGATGGGGTTTAGGAGCATGTTCTGTGAAGAGACTGGGGCCATGAAATTGGTGGGGTGAAGTTGCAGGAGGTAAAGTAGTGGTGAAGGCAGGGAGCTGGAGGAACCATTTCCCACTGCTTCTTACAAAGTCTCCAGCCTGGCACACAGAAGTGAAAGGAAAGGTCCTCTTCTGCACCCTGGAGGGAGATGGCAATCACAGAGGTCTTATTGACTCTTGGAGAAAGTGCTGTTCTTAAACATCATCTGCCAGAACAGAGCTTTGTAGCTACTACTGACTCCTAAAGAGGGACAGTGGGGTAACAGCCTCCAGGAAAGAATCTGAATGGAGTCTTATGTCCGGTTTATTCTGCCGTGCTTCTGAGGAACCTATGTCTCTGTCTTGCCCCCTCACACGTGTCCCCCAGCAGCAGTGAGCCAGAGAGGCGAAAGACAGACAGAGATCATCTCATCCATTTCATCCAGCCACTTCACTCCCCATTTCTTTTTTCATGCTTTTCCTTTCCTTACTTGCTAGTCTTGATTACTTGTCCTCTGATTCCTTTGCCTTGCCACATAGCTACATCTTTTTACAAATGCTTGCACCCAGCTGTGCTTTATGGGGCAGCCTCCCCGTTAGATCTGTGAAGCCACCATGTTTTCTCCTTCTTCACCCCATGTTTCTTTGAGGATACCTGGAAGAAGTTGCAAAGTGCAGGGGAAGGGCTATGTGAGCAAGTGGCTGTCATTCATCTATTTTGTGTAGCTGTTAAAGTGTTTCGTGATCATTCATAAGAGCTTATAGGTAGGCTTTCTTCCTGTTCCCCTAAATCTCTCATCCCCTTGCAGCCCCACTGTTTGTCACCCTCGTCATTTCTTGCTTTAAATTTAGGTAGCTCAACAGGAGAAGCTGTGTCACTCTATGTGGGTGGTACTACAGTGTAATTTTTTTCCCTAAAAATGTAAATGCCATTGTAGTTTGCTCCAATGTGTACAACATTAAATAGTAAATGTCATAAGTGGCAATTTGTAGTGTTTAAAATCTTGCTTACTTCAGTCTCTATCTTGCTGGGTTTTTGTGCTGAATGGCTGATCATTGTACCACTGTTTTCCCTTTGTTACACACATCTGTATGCAGGAGCAGAAGTGTTTGTTTCGATCTGGCATGCTGTAGTAAGACTGCTTTTAAATTGCATACTTAGTAGGTTACGAATCAGGTGGCAGCACTTTCATGGTGCTTATTCTCCAGCGTAGCTGACTTGAATAGCTTTTGACCACTTGTCTTTTCTGGTAAGTTTTTTGTAACTTGTTTGCCTTGCTTAATTGACCTGCTCCTTATTTTCCACAGCAAGAGTTTCTCTCATTTGGGAAATGTAAAAGAAAAGCATTCCTAGCCCAAGCAGAAGCAAAATGTAGTGCTGCCATCTGGGCTGTGAAATTGGAATAAAGCTGAAAGCGTTACCTCAGTATATTGCCATGGCTAGAAACCAGGTGGCAAATAGTAAAAGGATGGTCTGGTCATTGGCATGTTAGTCAGGAGAGACCGCATGTGCTTGTTGTGCTGCAAACCTCCGGGAACGTGGGTAGGCTGGAAATTATTTCTCTCACCTAATACTGGTTATCGAAATGTTATGTATCTACTCCGAGTTAATTGTCTTAGCTCAGTCTGCTGGGAAGGGATAAGCATTTCCAGAGGGCATGGGGTCATTCTGCATCACTTAGCTTTACGTTTGAGACTGGGATGAATCACTCTGTGGAGATACTCGCCTCTCTCTGCATAGACTACAAAAAGACAGGGGCTGACTGCCGTGGCCCAGAGTTAGAGCAAATCAGCTCTCTCTTCTCTTAAGCAGTTGCCTTTAGCTGAGAGGTAGTAGTCCATTCCTCATGGGTAGATAGAGATTAAATGGTGCTACTGTGTTCTCAGGAAGCAAGCTATTACTTGTGAAAAGAAAAAACAAACACACGTATTTTTATTATTTTCATTATGTATATATGCACCTGTATTTCTGATTGTCTCAGATTTTTGAACGCAGTGCTGAAAGGGAGAGATCTTCAGGACAGAGGCCGAGAGGCTTTTGCACCCCTTGGAAATACCTGACTGTTTCATGGCAATGTGCTGATGAACATGCTGAAGAGGCAAACAAAGCTAGGACTTGAGAATGCCCGGCATGTACATGAAGCTCTGTAGGTCATGCTCCTTCATAGTGGCTGGTTTTGCTTCTTTTTAGATTGTGATGGATTTCAAACACCCTGATGGCCATACAGTGGCAATTATGCTGCCCCGATGCAGTTTATTGGTGATGGCTGGAGAATCCAGATACCTGTGGACACATGGGTACGTGTAAGAGTCCCTGCATTGCTGATAATAGAATAATAATGTGTGTTGTTTGTTTCCTTTGTTAATGACATTCAGTATTTAAAATTGCTCTGAATGAAATCAAGCTGTGTTTTGTAATTAATATACAAATTCACTCCTCTGCTCGGATGCTGCTCAGGTTAAATTGAAATAATAGGGGATTTCAGGAAGCTAATTGCCAGTCCCTGAGCTGCAGTTTCCTGCCTCTGTTGCAAGTGAAATTTTGCTTAGAAATCGCTCTCGCTTATATCTGTGGTGTGAAAGTCCTCGGTGACTCTGAGCTGGCAAAGAATTGATTGTAGTGCAATTAGCTTCACCCTTTCCTTTCTTTTCAGCCGAGGACTTTTCCCATTGGATCACATATGCCAAGGGCTTTAGAGAAGGGCTGATTTAAGAGTGACTTTTGCACAGAGGGTGACAAAGGAGAGTCTTCCTGAGTTCTTCCCAGCTGCTTTAGGAACATTTTAACTCCTGATAAGGCTGCATTGTGCTGAGCAGATTTGGGATCCTGGAAAATAGGTTTCTTGAAATAATGTCTTGAGGATTTACTTACTATAGAGATTGAATATGTGCTTTTTAAATCATGCACCACTGGGAGATACAACAGGAGCAGGGAGATTGGCCAAAAGGCTAAAACTTCAGTGAGCTCTGGAAGTAGTGTGCTTCGGGAGAATAGGAACACCCTCAAATTGGACAGAAATTCCCATGGTAAGTGTTTCTTCCTGTGTCTGACCCATGATGTCACTGGTTACAGCAGTCATCTGGAGAGACTAATTACGTTTTGTGTAAATTAATGATCACATCATATTATTGGCAGAAAATTTTCTGCCTTTTATTTTTACTGGTTAATTTGACAAAGAGTAATGACCTTGACATTGTTCATTTTTATGGAGTGCTTATACCACCAGTGTCTTCCCTCATTAAATTATATAGTTGGAACAAGCTGCTGATACTTCTAATATGCATCATTATAGAGGCACGGAGCAGTGAAGTCTTTTGGTCTTTTTTGGAATACAAGATTGAACACAGATACCAGCATTATAAGCTTCTTCTTCTGTCCTGCCAAATACTGTCAGTCATCTTTTGGGAAGGTTATCTACAGCTCTGGGAACACAGTGCGGTTTCCATGTCGGTGATGTTGCTGGCCAGGGGAGCCGAGGGACATTCCCCAATCCTGGGCATCAGGCAGCTCCATGGGGCTGGGCTGAGGCCAGGTTGGGACGTCAGTCTGGGAGTCAAGGCCCAGATCAGTGGGGCAGCGGCCGTGCACAGACAGAGCTGAGGATGCATCTGGGGCTGTAACTGGAATGAGACAGCTGCCATTTCAAAACAGCTCCCAAAGGAAGGAGGGGTGGCCCTTGCTGAGGCCTCTGGCTGTCTTCACAACACCCTTCTCCAAGTTCTGCTGTTCTTCAGCTGGCCCTGGGCAGCCAAACTCCCAGGAGGGGGAAGGATGGAGGAGGACACTTGCAGTACTTGCCAGCAGGCATTCAAGCTCGAGTAGTATACCTGGCTACTGACAACTGGAATGAGATGCACAGGATCACAGAATTGTCCAGATTAGAAAAGACCTTCAAAATCATTGAGTCCAGTCTTTATCCTAACACTGACAAGTCCTCAACTAAACCATATCCCTTTCCGACTCTTAAATGTATCCAGGGAAGGGGACTCCACCAACATTATTACTTACTAGTACCTACAAGTGATGGTTGTCTGTTGAGAACCAGTGACAGAAATGACATTTAAAATGAAGATACCAGATCTTTCTACAAGTTACTTCTGTTTCAGTGCTTGTCCACATTTCCTAAAGACAGTTTTTCTGTATATTTTTAAGAGCAGTAGTTGATTAAGATACTCAACTGAAGTAAACTTTCCATCATGCTAGTGGAGCATAAAGCTGTAATCAGTAAGATTAATCATCTTGTGTAGTCAATTCACCTGCATATATAATGTCAGGATATATTTAAGATCATTTGTAATGCCTTTTTTCTACTCCTCAGAAATCAAATGAGAGAGCAAAAGGCTTATTTGGAGTCATTCTGAAAATGTTTTTAATGTGTGTATTTGGATGCCAAGGGAATTAGAAACTTCATTTTGACCCTATTAACAGAGTGCTCAGGAGAAGGTTTTTGTTCTGTTCTCTATGAATGAGAAACATACAGTAAAGAAATAAGTTACAGTGTCATCAAGGAGAGCTCTTTTTATCTCATAGGTGAAAGTAAAATTACGGCTTCTCTGATGAGATTCATTTGTGATTTTTTTTTTTCTGATGAAGGTCATTTTTGGTTGAGTAGCCTGGCAAAACAGCGTTTGCAACACTGCAGTAGTAAAACATCTCTGTGCCAAGCAAGAGGACGTGCAGCCTTTTATTTTTGCAGCATTTTATTTTAGCCCAGCTGGAGTTCTTGTATAGGCAAAGGGAAATTACGTAGGTTGAAACTTGAACCTTGAAAAAGAAAACTTACTTCTGGAAATATTAGCTGCTATGCTTAGCTTATTGCTGCAGGTACAAAAGAAAATCAAATAGAAAATCTGCAAACTTAGGATTTTAAGTTCTCCAGCCCAGGGATTCTTGGGCATCCTTTGCTGATCCACAGCTTCATTGCCTGCCATGAGCAAGGCAGTTCCTTATTGGATCCCGTCCTTTCCCTGGCTGCTTGAGGAGATTTCCATTCGTGGGGCCGCTCCATGTCTCCTTTTTGCAACATCTACACAGAGATATCAGTGTGCTGTGTCCTGATGTGCAGACAGAAAGGATCTGCACTCTTTTTCCCTGTGACAGCGTTAGAGATGAGCTTGCCTGCGACAGGAAAGACAACCTATGGTAAAGTACGGGAGTGCTGCTCAGGCTGCCTTCTCGGCGTTTGGGTCATTCTTCTGGGTTAAGTACAGACACTGGTCAACTGTTCGTGACCTGTAAAAAAACTTCCAGTAGACACTTGAGATGAGACTGAATGTTCTCCTTGATTAAAGGATCTAGGACACTTTTTTCCCCCTTTTTGCTCAACCTGTGAGGATTGAACTCAGATAACCAATGTGGAAGTCAGTATTGGACTGAGAGTTTGTCCTGCTGGGAGTCAAGTACCCTGAAGTCAGCAGCTCTGAAGGGCTTCACTGAGAGACCAGTTCCTTATAGATTTTTTTTTGTTGAGGAAATTTCTGCATTAATCTCCTTGATGACTAAGTTCAGGAAGCATTTCAGTGTGACAGTAACAGCTTTGAAGTGTTAAGCTTTTTCCCTGAAGAATTCCCATTTTGTTCCAAGAATGTCTATACTTTTTCCCATGTGCAAGTGATGGGAAACTACATGTGGGTGCAGCTGTTTCTCTTCTCTCATGTTGTGTTTCACATTTTCCTATCTCATTTTCCTCTTCTCAGCTTTGAGAGAGATACATTCGTAGAGGTCTTAAAAATTCTTGGTTTGGTACTTTTTTGTAATGTAAATCTCTTTATAGAATTATTTGAAACTTTTGTTGCTCCAGGAAAATTCCAAATCACTTTCATTTTATGAATTTTGTCCTTGCAGAAACATTTTTGTGTTTGTTAAGATCTGTGCCAAATCCAGAAGTAGCTGAAGAAGCTTTGCTCCCAGTTTGCTTGATCGATACATAGATTCTGGTCAAGAAAGTTCTACAGCAGAGTTTCTCCCTTCAGGCATTTTACCAAATCCCCAAAGTGCTGTTCTTTGCATCTTCTGCTGTCAATAAATGGAAAAGCAATTCTGTGGCAAAGCAGAATTCATTGAAGAGGCCCATTTATAACAAGAAACTTCAATCTGCTCATGTAGAACTCAACCAGTTCTATGCTTTTATACCCATAGCCACCATTTTTAGTATTGCATCTTTAACAAATATGATTTTAAAATATAAATAAATA